CAAGTACCTCCTTTTTATTATGTCTTTCTCACTGTATTTTTAACTCATTCTTTTTTGTACATTGGCGTTTTCCTTTTTACCATCTCATTCTCTCTTGGTTTTCATCTCATTCTTTTCTGTCTTATAACATCAAATACCTCCTTTTCACCATCTCTCTTTCTTTCAATTTTATTTTTATTTTTTCCATCATACATCAAATACCTCCTTTTTACCATCACCTTCTCTCTTTCTCTCTATTCTAACTTATTCTTATTCATCCTATATCAATTACTAACTCTATCTTTCTATCATTCAGAATCAAATACCTTCTTTTTAACATCTCTGTCTATCTGCTTTCTGTCTCATTTTTTTCTATCAAACAGCTTTTGAATACATTCTTTTTACCATCTCTCTCTCTCTCTGCTTCCATCATACGCTTGACTTTCATGAGGATTCAGATACATTATCTCAAGTTGATGTCACAACACATAGTTTTCACTGACAGCTTATTATGACATAAAACCTCACTGACATCCATACAGCTACATATCATAAATGCATCTCTACAATATCATCCCCCAAAGGCATTTCAAAAAAATGTATTGCATTACTGAATTAACAAACTTAAAAAGAACAAAATACAACTTTATGAAAATAAGATAAAATATTAATGTTATTTGTGCTTAATTATGCATTCTTTCAAAATTGTTTTACACAGCATTAAAATATCTGGATAAGTGGCGAGTTGTGAATACATGTATTGTTATTGTTTCAATTGATATTCAATATTCAGTAATTAATTTGCCTATGCAAAAACATCAGAAATTCTATAAAACCTTTAGATTTAAATTGTTTTACTGCCAACAGAGTGCAGTGTTGTCAACCTGTCTTTTCCTTCATTTCAAGTTTTCATAAAAACATCTAAAAAAAAAAAAAGATTGAAAAAGAAAAAATTAAGAAGGTACTCCCGTACTTTGTAAAATAATGATGCAAGATAAATGAGCATGAAGCAAAATGAAGCAATTATTCACATGTACATACACTTGCTCATTGTATACTAAATTATTTACATAATGTAAGTATGTGATTTGCATATACTGGTAATCAAGTGAAATACAGTTCAATATTTAGAACTATAATGTAACATCTGATGAGGGGCAGAATGACATCAATCATCCCTTAAATTACATATGTACCTGCAGTATAACAGAAATGGTGTTGTGACAATTTGACAGCTGACTTTATAGTTTCCTCCATTCAAGAAATCATAAATGACACTTTGCTTGATGAAGGAAACGGATCAACTGTTGTTTGTGTTCAAGATAAACATCTCCGTAAATTATACTATCATACACATTTTAAACACTATATTTATCAATGGTATTGTTTATTAATAATGGAAAATTTCCTTAGCAGGTGGATGATTTTGAAAAGCACAAACAATGAAATCATTATACAAAACAGAAACATTCTCCCTCCAGCTAGCAAGACAACTTCTGTTACAATCAAAATATATCTAGATACCAGAGAAGTGATAACAGCATTGACTATATATATATACTATAACCAGTAATGGTATACATGTCGTTTATGTTAGGAGTCATGAAAAAGTTTCTGACTGTAACCTATTTTTACATTTAAAATAATTTTGGATAACTTATTATTTTTATTATTGTAAATCATTCTATCGTTCAAATTTTGCTCCAGTTTGACTGAATTAGAGTTCTGATTATGATTCTGCTGACAAGTTGGTATTTTCTTTGTTTTTATACAATATATATAATGCTTACCAGTATAAGGCTGACCTGAATTACAGACATTCTAGGGAATACAGACACTGTTACTTATAGACAGCAAAATCATTTAGCAGTACCTTCCCAACATAAACACTTACAATACTTATTTTTTTTAATTATGAAACAAAAAATCCAATTATGTGACTTATGTAATATGTATTTTGAGTGCTAGCAACAGTAGAAAACAGCTGTGTAATTACCAGGTACATTTCAGTGTATCAACTAAATTGACAAATCTCATAATAAAATCTCATAAAAGAATGCTACACTGTTACCTTGTACTGGAGGAAGATAAAGATTTCTAAGAAATTATATGTTGTCATCATCACTCTCTCCAGCATATTCACAAGCAAAGGTCTCACCAATCCTACCAAAATCTCTTCAAACTGTAACATCAGAATCCCTTTTTTTTACCAGTCAATCTCTCTAACAAATGTCCAATGAAAGTTCCTGTTTCAAACATTCATTAAAGCTTCCCATCCAACCATTCAACATCTCTCAGAACATTCATTATATAATGAACAGTTGGCAGTGTAAGGTGAAATGTTTAGAAGTTTCTCTCGTGTTTTAAGCCAAATATATCATCTCCAGGGTAAAAACTATCATGGCTATCAAATAAGTACAGTCAAACCTGTCTATAAAGGCCACCTAAGGGACCAGAGAAAAGTGGCCTATATAGGCAAGTGGCCATAATTAGAGGTTCATTTACCATGAATTGCATTATTTAGGGAACCCAAAAATGGCCTTTATACACCGGTTGCCTTTATGTACAATTTCACTTACTATGAATTGCATTATGTAGGGAATAAAAAAAATGGTCTTTATACACAGGTTGCCTTTATAAGACAGGTTTGACTGTATGCCAAACAATACACATGACTGTAATCCTATTTGTGATATTTTATTTTTGTGGTTAGACTTCAGCCATGAAAATGACATATCTACAGAACAAACATCTAATGTTAAACAGTATGTATTTGTGCAGTTTTTCCAAACACCTGTCTTGTCTAGCTAGTGAGTCTACCTCTAAACATCACATCTATTAAGAACTCGGTCAACTCAAACTTCACTACCACCTGGCCCTAACACTGATGTTTGTCAGTGAAGTAATAGGAAGGGTCATAGAGACCGAAAACCTGCAACCGATCAATTAAACTTCATTATCCACAGACAGAATTTATTAACAAATCATATTGAGAATCTTCGCAAGATTTTTAGCAAAAGTAATTTGTAGGGACTTCATCGTATGATAATGAAATTATCAATATTTCTGTTACAATCCACAATATTATCTTAGATAATGAAGTCTGAATAGTATGGACTAGAAAAACATTATGCTTGATATACAAATTCATGAAATTTGCTCCATCCTAAACCAAAACGACCCCACACCACTGTAAAATGACACCTACTACACGATTACTAACAATTACTGAGTTCATTTGACACCAATATTGAAATATTCTATGAAAATGTAAGTGTTATATGAACTGCTCAAATGATTATCTTCCTGCATCACACAAATACAACCTAGCTCTCATACTTGCACACATGCCTATACGGACAATGCACATATGTATACATACATAATTTGTATATGTAATGTATATCGCAATACATACATATATATGTACACATCAATGAACTGCATTGGGGTCACTAACAACTTAAAGGATGCACTGATACATTTGTCAATATTAACTGTAAATCTGAGACACCTAGCCTAATATACATTTGTCTATATAGATTAATATAATTATATACTGTAACTATACGATTTTCCGTAGGTTAATTCCCCTCTTAATAGCGATACACACAGGCGACATTATTACAAGTTACCTGTATCCACCGTATAGATGCGATTTTAATCATTATGATGAATCAGAAAATCCACGTAATATTGCTGTTTAATTTATTTGTGGAGACTATGAATTTGTCAATTCTTTGACCATGACACAATACAGAGAACCAAATTTTTACTTCTCATTGTTTTTAAATGATTTTTTCTAATGAAGAAATATTACATATCATTGGTATTTGTTTTATTTTTTTTTTTTTTTTTTGTTCTCGAAAAAAGTACCTATGAAACGTTTATTAACTAAGAAAATCATGAAAAAATTACACAAAAATACAAAAAAATATTTGATTTTACAAAATAAGAAGAAATATTAGATGAAATCTACACAGAACTGTATAATTATGTTGACAGTGATAAATATTTGGCACCAGATATAAAGAACACCTACAGGCCATCAAAACCATATTGTTTTGAATGAGAGTCCAAATATGGATGAATTTCACAAAGAGAAACAAATCAGTTACTTTGCTGATAGACAGAAGGAATTACAGGTACCATTGGATAGAGACAATACAATCATACATGTGTCTATTCTGTGGACAGATGTCTCGATTCAAGCGTAAGAGTGTGGCTGGTCAACAAGAGGCTAGAATTGCTGAGTGCTGACAAACTAAAATCTTACGGAGGGTTGAGACATCTCTGTTCACAGAATAGACCTTTGTTTAATTATTTTTCTCACATATCTAAAAAGGGAAAAAACAAACAAACAAAAAAAAAGACACAAATTTCAAGTTTTTGTGAAACCTATCCATCGTGCCATCATCTATGCCCCTTGAACCTGCATCAAAATAAATGAAATGGTTAATATGAGACATGGTATCATCACTTATCCACATATAAGTTATCCATTTTTTGCAAATTTATACCAATTGGTCTGAAGACAGGTTCTAGAGAGTTTTTGAAAATAGTTATGTAAATTTACACATGGCTTAATAGCTTTGATATGGGAATACATTTCTACCGTTCCATGAGATTTCTATAATAAAGAACAGTATTTCTGGTATAAAAAAACCCTTTGTTTTTTTTTTATAGATGTAGATCTGTGTAGATAAATGTAATTAGAGTACACTTCTACAAAATAAAATGTCAACCTCAACAAATCACAATAATCTGGATCAATATCACACTTACCACAAATCTGAGTAATTAAACTCGCTCAAAATAGATTTGACCTTTATAGGCTTTCAAGGTCAATCTAGTTTGTCAGCGGGTTCTTACATGGTATTCATATTCAATACAAGAAAAGATTAAAATTATATTGATGAATGAGCATATTGCAACAATTTTCAAAGTGTTAATTCATTCACAATGTCATACATTCACAAACTCCTCAACTGTCTTTATTTATCAGTCGAATCAGAGTCGTTTGTTTATGAAATAAGGACAGATCTACTGATACATATTTTTTATATATTTTGCTTTCTGATGAGCCTCGACAACCAGTAAGCCTTTTAAGTGTTATAAAGATTTGTGTTGATATTTGAAGTTCCATCCTTATTTGTGCCAAAAATATTATATTTTAGAGTGTTATGGTTTGTCTGCATAAATGAACAGACCCCAGATGTTGGCATAAGGACAATATACTTCTGTACTGTTACTTCTGTAACATGATTTTCACAATGTAACATAGTCACTTTCACATCTTACGACTCTACAATAAATGACCTTGACAATGTAATGACCTTCACAACACCTTTTTTTCATCTTTGAAAAACAAAATGTTAACACTTACTATGTGGACATAAAAAGACGAGACATGGACACGGCTACAGTTAAACTTGACATAAACTGATATTTTCTTCATATATCAAACAATTAGAACTGTTCACATGCAGAAAATGTTCAAAAGTCTTCCCAGAAGACTAACTTTTACGTTAAATACTGCACATTATTGATGTTTTTTTTTTTTCATTTCGGGTCAAGGTCAATTATGATAACCTGATTCATGAGGTCATATGTTGGTGAGTATGTGTGTCATGGCGATGACGATGAAGGTTGATGAACAGCCAGTACATATCCCAGGTAATTATAGAAGTATACTGTAGACTCAGCACTATTGATACATTACAGTGTCTACTTGAGATAATTGTCAATGTGGCCACGAGTCTTTAGAACTGTACCCAATTGTTGTCGGTGTTTGACCTGTAAACAAAAAAAACAATAGTAAATCAATCAATACCAGCATAACATTAAACCAAATCAATAAATCAATAAAGTTAATCAATTACCACTTAAATCAGTTCAGGATTCTATGTATACTTAAAAGAAACTTTCTTTGGACAGATAACTGCTGTGGTATTCATATTTCCAGATATCAAAACCAGTGTCACCAATTCACCTGATTTTAGTTGGTAAACCTGATATCAGTCGTATCATGATCTGCTCAAATCTCGTTACAAAATACTAGAATCAACTGATATTTCTTCACGGTTGATCAATATTTGAAAATTTCGAAATATAATTTTTGGATCTAATAATGTCAAATACTATTCAAACATGATATGTATATATACAGATATGAAAACTCCACAATGAAATTGATCATGAGGTATTTTTTCTTGATGACCTTTGAAAATACCCTGTCAACCTTGATTTCAAAGGAGGGCTACAACTCCAATTATTAGATGCCTAAAAGTTAGTGACACTGTTTAGCATTTAATCAATTCCCTTTTCTTGTAAAATCATGATATTTGAGCCCAACAAATTTGATGATTTTACAACATTAATGTTTACCAAGATCATATAATGTATAATACAACCTTATGCAGAAGTCGACATGTAAATAAACATTTACATATCTATACGGTAATAGCCTTAATTAGGGCAAATTCATCAAAGCCTGACCTGAATATGAAACAAGTATATTCAAAACTTCTTACAGCCCGAAAGACAATAATTATAATTTGAAAGACTTAAGATTAAATACGTGTATTTTAATATACTTTTAGAAGTGTGTTTTTTTTTCTAATAATGCTAGCAATCAGGCTTTGAATTATGATACCTCATTGTGTCAATACTACAGGATATATCATAAGTCTGGATAAATATTTTTGACAGTTTTATGTTGTAGACGTTTTACTTCTGTCCTCAACATCCTGAAATCTTGTAAGTATTACATATTATCATTCTAGAGAAATAATTCAATGAAAGCATTTTTTTCAAACAGTCCAAATTCTCTGTGAATAGTTGCCATTCATATTAATTACAAAATCCAATGAATTGTCTAATTTCACCCAAATTTCTCGGGTTTTTTTCTTTTTTTTCCTCAGAATTTCAAAAACTGACTATTATTGAACACAGCAGCTGTACTGTTGAAAACTAAAACTGAACACAGCAGCTGTACTGTTGAAAACGAAAACTGAACACAGCAGCTGTACTGTTGAAAACGAAAACTGAACACAGCAGCTGTACTGTTGAAAAATTGACAGAGAACCTTTGATTACATGTCTAATGTTACTTTCTCTTTGATGATTTTAGTACAGTCCTGCTGATAAAGGTTTAATATTACAGTTCCTTCCAAAACTATAAACCATTGATTATAATATACGAGCAGTTATTAAATTATACGAAACTTTATAACTTTGTAAGAATAAATGATACAGCATTTATAATCAATAAAAGTACAGATGTTGTGTTTGGTTGTCATGGAAAACTAGCAGTTGGTCTTAAAAAATAATTGTAGGTAAACTCAAAACTTTTAACTTGAATGGTTGCTGAAAAAAATAAAAGGGTATTTTCAAGGGATGAAGTGTTTTAGTATGAAATACAAATACTGTGCTGGATGTGTCATTTTTGCATTCATCTATAATCCCATACAAATGCCATGTATATTTGCAAGATGTGTTTCTGTGGGTATGCTAGGGAAGTTGTGTAAGGGAGATAACTTTTGTTTGCAGAAGGGATGTGGTCTCCTGTTGGAAAGAAGGGTATATATAATGTAATATATTTGTAAAAGGTAAGAATGAATGGTGTGGATGGGGAATATTTGTATTACCAATATTCAAAAAAAAAATTCATGAAGTTTCTCGTGAAATAAATCATATGAATTTCAAGGAAAGAAAATGAAATTCTCGCATCTGAACAATTTATTTTTCTAATGTATAAACTTTGATTTTTTTTCAACATTTAATCTCATTGTGCTGGATAAGGGATAGGGATTGATTGGGGTATCAAGATCATAAAATCAAACCTAAAACATGGTGGTCACACACTAATGCTTCTCAGCAGATCTTTTCCTGTAGATATGAGAATAGTTTTCACCAATAAATTGACAAATTTTAAGTCAGTCTGAAGATGATAGAATTATAGAAAATCTTATATCAGAAATCATTCCCACAATACCAGCAGATTTGGAGCATGCTTGCCCTCAGATACACTACCATAATCATGATGTTACCTTGGATCTGAATGATGTCTGCGACGACATGTCTGTAATAAACTGACATCAAACAAAGACATACAAGAAATCATTTGTTTACCCGACAGCAGACAAGGTACAAAATTTAATGTAAGGATGTTAACCCTGTTTGAGATATACAAAGTTACAGGCTGAGAATATTCTGGATTCTAATGACAACACCACTCCTGACCTTATATTTCACAGAGTAAAAGTTTACCCGCCAAAGTAAAAATCATATGGAGTTAAATGAAATTGTCAAAAAAAAACAAAAAAATTAAAAATAACTAACATTTACTTGCAAGACCAAAATATTTATAAATGCTGAGCTTAAAATTGTATATATATGTCCATTGATTATCAATAATTTTTTAGTTGCTTTTGTCATTATCATTTTGGAAAAAATCAATAAAAATTTTGCAGGCTATCAAAGAGTTTGTGTATTTTAGTATTGGTAAAAAAATTGTAGGTTTTTGTAGGGAAATTGTTGAGAGTTCTGTTGGCCTCAGAAAATTACTGTTTATGTACAGCATTTTAAACCAGTTTGTGAACACATCTGTATGGCTTTCATTTTAGGTTGAATCAATTTCATTGTTTTCTTGGATGAGATGTAAATAATATTGACAAATAGATATGCATGAATATCTCATTGATTACAAAAATTTAAGGAAAGTGTAAAGTAACAATTGATTTTATTTTCTTTAAACCCCCAAAAATTAGCAACACCATATATATGGTAACTACTTACCCAGCACTTGTGAAATCCCCCCAAGGGTCGTTACTACTCTGTACAGCTTGAGGCTGTAGAGGTGTGGAATCACTATTTGTTGTTCCCAAATCTAAAAGTAAGTCAATGTTACTAGAAGCACTGGAACTGTTATTTTGTGCCACTGGGGCAGCTTGTGGCTGCATTCGAGCTTGAGCAGCAGATGCTGGTTGGGGTGGCTGTATACCACCCCCTGGTGGCGGTGGAAGCTTTACTCCCCCTGGTGGTGGCGGTAAAATTCCAATCCCACCTCCTCCTGCATTTCCTCTCGGTCTGGCTTTTGTATTTGATGAATCTGACTTCTTTGTCTGGAAAAAATAATATCAACATCAATATTGATTCTTAAGTATACCTCCAATACATGTAAACCATTCACATGAATCTAATTACGATCAACCAAGTATTTATTACATCCGATTTTTATAAAAACACTTTCTAAACAGTGTCTGACATACATGTACAGAGAATCTGCGGTAAAGAGCATTATAATACAGTTAACAACTTCAAGTTTAAGATTTAGAAGAGGCTGCAATTTTTGTAGTAGTCACATTTGCTCTTTGATTAATTCAGAAATTGTCACAAAATCTCAGCTGGTTATTAGATAAGTGGTTTTAATCACATCTACAGCTTTATTTTCGACACAAGAATCAGAATTTGTGAATATGATGGAGCCATCTAAGAATTGTTTTAAGTTTTAAATGACAAAGAAGGATAAGTTTAACAACTAATTGAAGTATATCTTAAATCGAGTTTGTTTTAAATACAGTTAAACAAAGTTAGTTGGTGCTATTTACTATAACCTGATTCAAACTACATGCTACCTACTATACAATTATAAATTGTCAAGGAGGTTTTATCTCGGTTTTAGTTGGTGCTCTTAATCCATAGATACACATGTCTATAAAAGATAAAAAATTTACCCAAGTTTTTAGTACTAACGAGTTTAGCGAGTACTGATTATCAACAAAATGATTATATAAAGCATCAAACAAATAGTTTCTTTTTAAAAAACCACGAAATGTGGTAGTCTTAAAAATATAGTTACAATTTTATTTCAGTAACACAACTATCTAAAGCTATAGAAAATATTACCCCTATATTGATCTTGATAGTCTGTCCTTCTTTGAAGCCCAGGTCCAACTTTGGTCCTTTGTCAAACTGTGTCGATGCTGTTTTCGCCTCTTCTTCTGTTTTTAACCACCTGTTAATGGAATGATGAATTAATGTCATAGTGTTTTCAAATTTACTTTTATTTAAACTTGGCTGGTTTGCTTAGAAAGTGACAAGTGAACAGTTTGAACCAAAATATTGAGGAGTATTTGTTTTTATGGTAATTCTCTCTTTTTCCTTCATGGTTTTGTCAAAATATCATTGTTTATTTTCATCAGCTGTAAATTATCTATATTACTCTTTATTAAATTTTTGCGAATTTAGTAAAAAGTTATATCATCACTGCAGTGACATCAGAAATCTTATTCATCAATAGCAATGATAACTTTACCAGTGATGATATAACTTTCATACTTTTGATCAAGTAGAGTAGCTCTGAAGGGAAATCAAAGCCCCAAAGAAGGAATAAGCAGTATGGTATAAACTGTACTTACCTGGTATTAAAGAATGGTCAGATGGAAGAATACTTAAAAGATGTACTACTACTTACTTGAAATGGTCTTGTAAAGATACATTAAGGTCAAAAGAATCTCCTCGATCTTCAAATCCAATTCCAATGAATGCTGAGCGACCTTTTATAAAAAAGAAAACAGGTACCTATCAACATCAACGTTTTCTGATTAATCATGTCACATATTGCATACACAATATCGTCTTTCAAGTAAAAGCAATGAATTGAAATATTAAAACATTTTCTTGTTTGTTCAGCAACTTTTGTTTTAGATCTTACAGTAATACATTTTAAATGAACAATTTGGAAAAATTACAAACAAAATTTTGGTTACAACTCAATGACAACATGAACAAGTTAACCGTTTCCCTGAATTTAAGACATCAATTATTGTTTGTTCAAAATTTGTCTACTGATCATGAAGTACAAAATTCAAAATGGAAGATGAGATATGGAATTTTTTACCTGGTGTTGCAATGCTTTCCTAGTCATACAAAGCAACTTCCCCAAACCGATAATTCTCTAAACTCTTGAAACCGAACAAAATGGCACTGTACTGAATGACATCGTCTTTATTATAGTAAGAAAAACCTTCCCTATAACGATCCCTTTCAATTCCAAATACTGAAACAATTTTGTGTCCAAAGTGATTGAATTTTACTGAAAATCACTTCTGAAAACTGGCATTACTTGGATGAGCAAATCAGCATTCTGACCAGCGGACCGTGAAATCAACCTCTGTGGTAACAGTGTAAGCTTTGTGCTTATGATGCATACATCTGTCTTGGGTTGATTTTGTACACAATACCTATCCTAATCAGGAGAATTATAGTAAACACAATACATAGTTATCTCAAATGACAAATTGAAACTATATCGAACGAGTCCATTGTTTCACCAAAGAGAAAAATGGCTACAAATAAAGTGAAAATAAGTACTGAAAGTGATTTAGAAAGATGCAGTTTCTCATCTTAATTGTGATTCAATAATGTTATTCTGACACTTATCAATTTGATACATTAATCAAGTCTTGTTTCAGAAGGTAGGTTTTTATACACATCAACAAAACATATATTCATCATATATATCTGTTGGTAACACTTTTTCTTTCTTTCTAGATTGATTCACTTCTAAAAACCTAACCCTCCCTAAATATTCCCATGCATGGTCGGTTTGGAGAAGTTCCACTGCATTATTGTAACCCTCGTAAAGACAAAAAAAGTATGTGTATACAAAAAATACCAGGGAGCCGAATTATTGTTTTCTGATATCTAAAGCTACAAACCTCCTTCGTCTTTAATCCGGAGCACAAAATATCGACTAGAGTCCATGACTGGTTCAACTGCTATGCCAGGATATGTTTCCACTGGACATTGTGCAAACAGGTCACCTAAAAAACAAGGGAAGTAACTCTTCATCTTGCACCTAGTATATTGCACTTAAAGGACTTGAAAACTGTCGAAGTTTCATACCATTGTGATTTGTATATCCTTTGTTGTAAAATGTGGCGTTAAATTGGAGAGAAGGGAAGATAATAACACTACACCAATCACACAAGCACAAACATGAAGAACAAAGCCAATATCGTTACTCACCCAACCACAAAGAAATCACCAATATTTTTAACCAATCAGCATATATGAAACCTTTATCAGTATATATAATGATTAACTTATGCAAAAATCGGTATATATTTTCTTATATCCTGCAACAGGCACAGTCATTGTCGGAATACACTGGCCACATATATTTTTGCTGTATTTGGTAGTGACAGAAAACAGCTGTAATTTAGCACATGCATTAATTAAATACATGTAGTTTGACAGAATTACTTACTGAAATTACTTAAAAATTACATTTAACAGTAAAAATATCTGTGGAAAGAAGCAATTTTTTTTGCTGTAATAACAAGGTTATTGATGAAAATTCATAAAACTGCTGTCATAATCATGTTTGGAACTATATTTCTGCGTGGAGCAATTATTTTGATGTATGTCATCAGGCAAAATTCAGCGAAACATCAACGTCGGGTAAACAAATATTGAACAACAAAATTGTTGAAATTTTGATTGTCTAATTTTCAATCAATGTTACAGGATAAATAGAATATATGGTCAGTGTCTTAGAATTTAAGCTGAAAAGAGTGGTGAGCCCCTGGTGAGACACTGACCATGTATTCCCTATTCATAATTCTGAGAAAAGGTATGGATATATTTCATTATACATGGCTCTTCACTAACTCTGTGTGTATTACTACCCATGGTTTATTTGTGGTGCTGTAATTGTATTGCCTAAGTGGAACACGGTACTCATCAATAACCTACAAATAACTGCCCAGACTTTATGACCTTAGATTGTTTACATTTGCGTTGACATTAGCTTCTGACTACATACCTGATGTTTTATCTTCAAGTTTTATAAACAAGTCTTTCCCTTTGGAAACAATTCGGAGTCTTCCAGTCCAATCGGGCTCATCCAGCTTCCAGTCAGCAGCTCTGCACAACAAATCATACAGATATAACTTGTATCAATGTAGGTACACATGAAGGTTTTCAGAGAGGCTGTTAATTATTAACAGCACCAGGAGTTAAACCACAGAACACTATAGAAACACTCAGTTATCATCACAAACTGATGTTAAGTTAGTTTACAACTTTTTTAATGTGTTTCATGCTTCCCCCTCTCTGTCCAGCTTTCAAGGACTAATAGAATCTTTCATCCCCATGGAGGTGACATTCGGGACCCTTCCCCTGAGGGTTAAGATCCCCCTATATCACCCTAAAGGGGGTGAATGATTCTTTTTCTGTTACCTTGTTTATCCTTTCTCGAGTGTAAGACAATGTTTACTGTGTGTAAACAAAAATACATGCATGGTATATGAATAGTAAGGAAACCTGTGCCTCTGATATTTCATCCATTGTGATTTGATCTTACACATAATTTTAGTGTACATACCAATAAAATGTCAAATAAAATTATACTCTTGATATTTGATATATATATTTTTAATAATAAGTTGTGGATTTATATGAGTTTGTCTTGATGATAACACAGGATTTTCTGTTATGAGGGTAACACAAGACTTCAGTAGCAGATGGACTAGTGATGTGTGGGACCTAGGCCTCATAAAAGAAGTTCAACTTCTGGGAATTATGTCAGTAACGTCACTTAATTTGTTTACAGAACCTGCAATGAGCATGTGTTAACTTGTATCAAACCTAGGGTGAGACATGGAAATCTCACACCGGTCAAAAGCATGAATTTACCTGTCCATGGTTAAAGAAAGCTTAAGGTTGATCTCAACCCGAGGGGAAAGATGATTAAGTAAACAAACACAAGGCTTGCGTGGGTGCGTTGTGATTGAAGCTTACTTGGATTAATGTGTATGACTTGATACAAATGTCTACTTATATCACATTTAGTTACAGTCATTTTGTGTCAAAATGTGTTTTTTCACCTTTAAACATTATCTAAATCCTTTACAGCTAGAAGCATTTTTCAATTCACCAAGTAGATATATATATATATATATATATATATATATATATATATGTATTACATGTTAATACCCCACTGTTATATGCTCAAATATCAAAACATGTTTGAATCAAATTATGAACCAAACAATTTTGATCCTTAATATATATGACATTTTACAATCCAAATACCATTTTTTTTAAATGCTCTACACTGTACAAAGTGTTAAATGTAGTGTCTCTGTCACTCCACTGGTAGAGAGCATGTCTCTTCTGTTAAGTTGCCTGTTTCAGTTGAAAGAAACATGGATAATCATATCAGCAGCCCAGGTTCAATGCCAAACAGGGCTTCCAGCAATAATGTGTTTTTCCGCTTTTTTTTATTACATAAGACATGTTTTCGGGTTCATATCTTGTCATGTTGGTAAAACAGGTTTCTGTTATAAAAATGTATGGGGGTCATCTGTCATCAAAAATGTAGGTTTTCTTTCACTGTTTTAAATTTTGCAACAGATAACCCCTGAAAGAGGCCAAGGGGCCATGGACCACTAAAAAAACAGATTGAACCCTCCTTTTATTTTGATCTTACAAAGGCTGTCTGTGTAGATTATGACATCAATAGAAAACTGCTGAAAATGCCTCAGCTCCCTGAATTTTCCCTGTTGTAAGACTCTTCAAGTGCCTCAATCCAGCCCAATACGGGAGGCTATTATCAGTCATCATTAATTGTTTCACAGTTGTTGTAAGACAAATATATAACAAATAATATCATAACCGGTTCATTGACAACTGACCACGCTTTACATTTGCTACAAGTTGTTGTATCAACTTTCAGTTTCACGTCTCATGACAGAATTAATCTTCATGTTTTAAATATGATGACTGACTAAATTAATTATATACGGTAATCCCCTAAGACAAGCATCGATATTTAAGTACTGCCATCTAAGATAGCTGATAAAAAAAATCAATTAGAACTGTATGTAATTCATGTTCTTATAATTATCATAGTCATTTCAACAATAAAAGACTTCGCAATTAAAAACAGGAAAGATTTTCGCTAATGATTTAGGACTTATAATCAATAAATTGATTGTACTGGGTCAATCCAAAACGGAGATCCGCCCACAAACCGGGGGCGATTGTCCCACTGCCGAATACGATGTTTATTCCATAACGTTATGAGTATGAAATACACAATATTTAAACTTAATTAGTATAATGTACATATTCATTGTATCTCACCTATACCCTCTGTTCGAAGGCCGTGGTGGTATTTTGTATACGTGAATCGTATTTTTGACACATAGCACACTCTCGTAATCCGCCATGTTGACCGGAACTAGTCACATAGAATTATCTCCCTTAGTCTAATTGGTGTAGTAACTTAGATCATACACGCATTTCGATCTCGCGACTGCCATGGTATAACCAGGGACGGCCCTGGTATAACATAGCAACTATGGTTAAATCGGCCATGCATGAAATCGGCCATAGTGTAGTATATATCCTATGTACAGATAAATTTATAAAATCCCGCTACTTTTTCTGGACTTGATTACACCACGGACTAAAATATATCGTGACTGAACTGACCGGAATGTTTCAGCTCTAAGTTGGTTTTTCCATCCCATACTTATCATATGTATGGCGTTGTTAAAATGCTGAATAATGGGTTATATTGTTTAAACTAACTTCATGTATTTTTTCTTTCCAGATACAATTTTTTTTTCTGAAAATGGCCATTATTCAATGCATGTATGCACGAACTGAACAAATAAAGTCATGTGAACGTTGGACTGATTTAACCTTAAACTACATATACACAGCAATATATGGTTGTCTATACTTGTTGTTATTTTGTCATAAAATTGTTGTTACAGAGACAAAATATTCGTTCAGTAACGTCTAGTGTGGAAGCCCGAGGAGAATGGTGTTGATTTCAGCTTTTCGCTTGATACCCTCAGTTATACCAGAGACATATATAACACATTATATATACGTCTCTGGTTATGCCAACTGATCACCAATATTTATAGATGTAAGTCCGAATTATTCTGGCGCTCTAAAAACTAGTCAGAAGTATTCAGACGTTTTATCGACTTTTTATATCGGCCGTCTGGAGTCGAAGAACGTCAGAACCCTGGTCCTATTTAAAGTGAGGGATTTAATTCACGTAAGTGACAAGCACCTGAGATGGCATTCAAATGATGATTGTGAAAAGTTTGGTTTTTTTTACATATATGTTGCACATGGACCCAGGCACTTGTCGCTTATTTCTCTCACTTTGTATCATAGACATTGACATATATTTAAGTCCGACATAAAATAAAGTTGATAGAACGTCAGATTATTTCGGACTGTAACAACATAAAGATGGAAACGGCTTGCATGTTATATTTTTTTCCCGGCGAACAATTCCATGTATCCACAATTACGATTGAATGCAGCCATTCTAGGTGATATTTTTACATTTTTAATTATAATTTTAGTCCGCTTACATTGAATTGGTTCCCACATACGCGATGTATATTCCAAAAGTGGTTTAATGAGTATCTTAACATGTATGGTCATCTCGGTGTTGTCAGAGACACATATGACACAGATCTCGTCACAAAGGAATATAGCCAGTGGCAGTAAAAAGTCACTATTTATAGACATCCATACATGGTTTATGAACGTCCATAATTCCATAAATAGAATTACGGATATTAGAATTATCAATTGATATTTAGAATTATTTATGGATATTTAGAATTATTTATCGATATTCATATAAAGTTATCTTTGTCCACTTTGGCTTTCCATAGAAGGAAATTCATGTAGCGAGCGCGAAAAATACTTGCCCCGCCTTAGCTTTACTTACTGAGTTTTCTTGAGATTGTATCACAGCGATAGTGAGATTTGAGCGGTGTGATTGCTATAGTGTAATAGCAAGGAGTCATGAAAAACAATCTGCCACCCTGCCACCTCTGCCACCCTCTGAGGTTCGAACTGGCGACCATTAGGTGTCAAGACAAACGCTCTACCCGTTCAACTTAAGAGACACTCCCACCAGCCGAGGCTATTAGAACCATTAAATTTTGAATTAACTACTATCAACAGAAAGTAATTATATTACCCAAATGACGGTCGAGAAAGGCACAAATCACATCATCACACAACCTGCCGTTATGTAAGAAAATCTGTATATAAAATTACCGACTTTTCACAGCTTTGTTATCAAGCTTTACTGATGACGTTTCACATCGATATTCAGTCTTCGAGTACAGTTTTCATTATATAATCGTAAGACTGGAAATTATTTGATAGATAATATCAAAATAAATAAAAAAAATACTTCATCTGGAACCTTGAACGGCACAGTTAAAACTAATTGTGAAATTACCGACATTTCACAACTTCAATATCGAAGGTTATCTAGGAAACTTCACATCGATATTAACAATTTTAGTAGAAATTTTAGTTGGAAGATATCCTTGTGACGTCGGCTAAATTTTATGTGAAAATATGGGCCTGTGTATAAAAATGGGTTGAAAATGTGACGAGGAAGAAAATTATATCAGATAAGCACTGAAAATGTTATTTTATCGTGAATGAAAGTATTGACTATACTATTTAATCTGTCTTTACCGTGCTAATGGTAAGCAAACACAAGGGAAATCCCCTTAATATCCCACTGTCACTAATTAGCTTCAGTTTTCCTTTGAGTGCTGACAGAAATATTCAAAAGTTGGATTTATTGTGACCACATTGAGGTATCTACGTGGTAGTTTTCCCCATAAGACTAAAGGTATGATTTCAGCTTGTTTTTTTTTCATTTATATAAACGTTTTCCCTTACAAATTATCGCAAATACCTATAGATTTGGAATTATCAATTGGTGTTTTTCATCTAGAGTTAGTCAGTCCATATTTTCATGCCATTATACTATAAAATGATACATTAGTTACCAATATTGAAATAGTCCATTTATCTGTTGATATCAAATCAAATTAACGTTGTTATAAGTCGTTAGTCAGGTTCACTTTGATTAAAACACTCAGTCAGTTGAGATGTTTTTGACCACAACTTAATGACCACCAAGTCTAAATCCTTTTTAAGTCTATACAAAAAGACATAACCTATATCATATATTAAATCAATAATCAATTAACGTTAATCTATAAGTCATTCAATTTCACCCACTTCGCGAAATGGGAAAATGAATGATGGAATATATACACCTATATTCTCGACATTGTATTACAAATTAGATCTCGCATTACAGTTTGAAAGCAAGGCAAGAATTTTACAGTTTTTTTTTTTTTTAAATAAGTTTGAATTAGCCAAAATTCACCATTATCTTCCTTATTCATTACTGGTATGAAATTATGTGACGATCACGTGTTGGAAAAAAAGTTTTAAGAACTAAACTTGAAATTTAACCGTGATTACAACACAAGTGATGAATAGTAAGTCATGACGACCCTTAATTTATTCATAGAACAAATAATTAGATTATGTAATGTATCAAATACTAGTCACGCCCCCACAAGTGGACAGATTATCTTGTAGAGAACGAGTCAGATATTGATTTAAACATATTTTATCATCAGCAGCAGATAAATGGATCTGAGACAAGGTCTAGCAACTTATGAACTCTTCTCGATAAGTAAAATTACAAATAATTAATATACTGCACGTGACACATATTTATACTATAAATATGAAGATAAGCAATTCGTAGACGTTCAATTGTTAGTTTAAATTATTTTGTCAAAAGGAGGAAAAGATGAGATGATAGGATGGAAAAAAAGAAGAAAAAAGAGATAATATAGATTTTATATCAATTCTATATCAATTCTATATCAATTCAGTGCCGACTACAAACAGTTCAGAATTAGGTAGTGTTAAAACGCTTTGTTTGTTTTCTAAACTTATGAACAGAATTAACAAACAGATAAGATATGTGACATCCCTTTTCTGTTACAAATGTGTTAGACTTCACTTACATTATTTTTTTGGATTCAATAATTAATTATCTTATATTATCTCAGGCAATGTATTATTGATATCGATATTGCTGCTTGACACGTCACAATCATTACTTGGGTTATGCCGAAATTGATGTTTCAAATTTAAACGAAAACCTCTCACCGACATTATATTGAATTCTTTTGCTAAATACATTAAAATAAAATAAAATTATCTCAGGACGGATATATCAGTTTTGACTTTGTTGAGGATTTTTTAGTAAAATGGGTTTCCCATCATTTCGCTGCGAGCAATATAGAGAGCTGTGGTTTTCCTCAGTGTTAGAATAGTCCTAGTCTGTAGCCTTTCTTTCCTATGACCATTTTGAATACAGAAGATTGACAGAAAGACAGGGAGATAAAGACGATCAAGGGCAGAGCTCAGTTTAATTTTAAATCACTTAAACCGTAAATATCGCAATCGAATTATCAGAAAATTGGCATGTTCAAATGTCAAAAAGTAAAAATGGCGACGAACCTGAACTCTTTTGGAATCGATCTTCACAAAATAAAACCAACATTTTTTTTCTTGTATTACTTACGAGCCGGTCGATTAGATATATTATTACACGATAAAAAAAGTAGTCCACTGTTTAATATGTTATTTTTTCCGCCTTCAAACGGCAACAAGTTATTACGACTGAATAGATAATATCGTACTTGCATGCTAATGGTAGGCAAACTGCAAAAGGGAAATCCCCTAGCATTCCCCATCAATCTATTACTGCAGCTTACTTTGGGGTGTTGAAACCAGTCTAGACTTGGATTTGAGTAATTTCGGGGTAAGTTTATATGTTGGAGCCATGTTACATAACGCACAATTGATGCACGATGCTAGAACTTTATTTATGAATAATTTCCACGGATGCTTAAAAATCGATAACCGTTCATTTTCAGTAGAATTCAGTATATCTAATGGGAACGTGTGTAATTTTGAATGTGTAAGCATTTTTGTATTATATACATTGCATAATTACGATTTTTTTTTGTTTAATTATGTATCTGACCTAATTTGAAAAAAAACGAACATAATTTTTAAAAATGGCAAGCTTAGCCAATTAAATCAATCGATAAACTATATACGATCCAACATGCCAAGTCCCAGAACAATTGAAATGAGTTTAATATTAGATCAATCTAGATTTCATTTTAATAACAGAGGTTCCAGCTCCCCATTACGTGGCAAATGAAATATCTCTTATCTGTGTTCATTTGGACATTTAGCCTGAAACAATTAAAGTTTTTTTTCCCGCATAAGCTAGGATTTTATGGGATGCTCCTGAAGAATTGTACAGCTCAATTTACTATTTAAATAA